TGGTTCTTCCCACGTTGTGGCGGGTCAAAGCGGGCTTTGTGAGCCTGTGTTTGTTGTTGCTTTTGTCATGTGAGCACAGGCAGCACATTCCAGGGCTGAGTAAGAACAGAGATGACAAAACCCACGGTCGTCCACAGCCACAGGCCTTGGGACCGAAATGCTGACCCATCTCACGCTAACGCACACACACACACACACACACACACACACAAACATTGTTTAAAGGTCACAGATTATCTCGGTTCACACATTCGTCAGTGTTTAGTCTGTTGTGTCTGAGCGCTCCACGGATCGTCCTGTGTTTGGTCAGTTTAGCGGCAGTGGGCTCTACGTCTCCACAACAGCTGGACTGAGAATAAAACTAGACATTAGCGGTTTTGTAAACGACTAATCCCCCTGAGATTATGTGGATTTTACACTTAGGATCCCATTCAAGATTAAATTGGCTTTTCTAGTAAACGAGGAACGTTGCTGTGTCAGTAATCACACTACGGAACCAGAACCCGGTGAGCTTCTGGGTACAACATAAATAAACACGTAAAACGAGGAAGTGAGACAGTAAATTGTTAACGTGATAAAATGATTTGCAAAGTGAGCAGAGAGGATTTAGTTCTAGTTCAGACACCTTAGTGAGATGACACAAACATGGTCTGATGCCTTTTCCTTGTTTCGGCTTGCAGATATCTCCACATCTGTGTCGGTGCCTGATGACAAATGGTTATCTACCCTGGAAAACACCCACTGGCTGGACTACACCAGGTAACCGCTCTGATTGGCCGGTCTGGCCCCCAACAAAAAGCTGTCAGCTTCTTCCAGCTGATGGTTCTGTGTTGTTAACATGACTCATGTGTTGACTGGCTGAAGATTTTAAGACTTCAAGTTATCAAGGTCCTTTTAAAAGCCTTGAAAATCTGCAGATAAACCATGAAAGTCCTGAAAGCTGACAGCTCCATGTACGGTAGGTGTGAGATTTTAGCCTGAAGTCAGATTCAGTTCAAACTTAAATGTAAGACTTTGGGCCTAATTAGAAAACAGATGTAAACCCAGACAGACGACTCCAAGCTGAAGAGCTGCCCGCGGCTGTGTTCAACACATCAAATATAACGTACGTAGTGAAACACAGCGATGGTCCACATCACAGAGAGGTTTGATCGTTGTTATGGCAAAGCTGAGAGCTCAGACTTCTTCTTCTACACAACCTTTATCCTCCTTATTAAACTTCATAGGCAAACCAGCATTAGTCTTCTAACTTCCTTTTATTTGTGGTGTCATGAGAAGCTTGTATATTTAAATTCTGACCCATTTGTACAACTTTTTGCATGTTTTCAATCATAGTTCAAAACAGGTCAAAGTATTTCACAGACAAAACAAACAACAGGTAACAGGTGTAGTTCATTCCTATTCAATAAACTGAACACAGTCGCTGCCCAGTCAGTGGTGTCGGTATGATGTAGGGGAGGACCGTTCTGCAAAACGTGATGTCGATCCAACACCAAGTAAATACAGGCCCAGTGTTGGCGGTACCGGTACCAATACTTACCAAAGCAGCTCATGTAGAACAATGCGTCATCAGTTATTAAGTGAATGCACCATGAATATGAAAATGAAAAAAAGAGGAGAGACGTGAGGAGCGTTGTCTGCACAACCACGATGTAACGGTTTCTGAACATAGAAGAGAAACTGAAAGTTAACTTGTGTAAGTATTAAACGGTACCAACGTGGTGTCGGTGCCATCCAGCCACCTCTAGCATGTAGATGATGAGTGTGTGTGATGCCTGGCCTCTGTGTGTAGGTCCTGTCTGAGGAAGGCTTCAGAGGTCGCCTGCCTGCTTCGGGGTGGTCACCTGACTGTGGCACTGCAAGGTGAGTCACATGATGCCGGAGCACGGCTCGTATTATTCAATCCATTCATTATTCACAGCACCTCCCTCTCATGAATGCCACATTAGGGCTTGCCCTGAAGTACCTGTATACTATGGACAGCCACACTCCAGCGAGCCGACATGCACTCTGTCAAAGGCTGCCGTACAGCATCCACCATCACACCTGCTGCAGCTGCTGCACATGACTGCATGCAGGAAGAACACACCTAGTTTCATAGATTGAATAATAGTAAATATACAATTAACTTAAAGCAGCAACACCTCTAACATGTGATCAGTTTATTGATGAGCTTGGCTGGTAGGTTGCTCAGAGAACAGGAGAACCAGGTCAGATGTTTCTATTCTGAGTCCGTCTCACTAAAAGAAACGCTGATTTATTTTGAGCCTGTAGCGCTCTCAGGCTCACCACCACCTGATCTCCATGTTAGCACTACTTCTACTCAATTATCCTGATAAATGAATCTGACTTTTAAGGTTTTCTGCTGAAGTGAACGCAGCTTTAATTCACTCGCTTGTCCAGCTGTGTTAATCCTACTTGAACTTGTCAGGTTCTGAACTGCTTTGTGCAGCAGATACCTGACAGGTTGAACTAAAGTCTGACGGTTAGTGAGATCTGAGCCGTGGTCTCAGTGTGTCTTTGTGAAGCTGGCCTCAGGGATCTGTGGGGAGATGTATGACCTGCTGCAGGGCTCCTGGTTCTTCTTGTGGCTGAAGATGGTTCTTTATGGTTCTTCTGTATGTGCAGGTTCTGTTACAGAATGAGTTTAGGACTGATCAGACACGACCTCGATGGTGATTGATAAGAACATAAACAATGAAATAAGATAAACTTTATTGATCCCTCATCGGGGAAATGGACCCGTCACAGCAGCTGGACACAGATGAGGCAGGATGAGAGTTACAACCAGCACAATAAGCCTAAAAATACAGATATAACAGTGGTCTAATGAACACAGTGGGCAAAGCATGATGAATCTAAATATGTATACATATATGACATACCGGATATATAAATGCTCTGCACTTATATGTTTCATATCTCATTCACCCGTTCACACATTCATACATTCATACTCCAATGACAGAGCTCCATGCAAGGTGCTGCTGCCATCAGGAGCAACTTCAGGTTCAGGGCTGCTGAAGACCAGACGATCACATCTCCCCCAGACAGTCACAGAAATACAAAACAGTCTCCTAAACCTCTCCTATGGTGTATACACACTGTGCTGCATGTCCAGCAAAAGTTCATTTTACCGTAGAAGAGGTTTAGTTAGGTGTTTTGTATTTCTGTGACTGTCTGGGGGAGATGTGATCGTCTGGTCTTCAGCAGCCCTGTTGTTCATTTCAGTTTTGGTCTGAGCCTAAAAACACAGCAGGTCTATTTGCGGCCCATCAGCCAGGATGTGGCGTGCAGCAGTCTGGGTGTTGTTGCTATCGTGACGTTGTGCTTGTTTAGTATCAGACGACAGGACGAGCCGTGACTCTGTGGGGGAAGGAGATGATGTAGAACCAAACTTCTTGTTAGAGGCTCCGGTTGATGCTGTTCCCTGTGATGGACAGTGAGCCCAAGACTGTGCTGGAGGTTCCCTCCTTAAACAAGAGGGTCACCTTGATGCAGCTCTGTGTTGAGAGGAAGGCGGTGGCTGCTGCTGTTTGTTGTGCGTCTGAGGTGTCAACTGATCACCACCTGGCAGTGAGGTGGATCAGGTGACGGGGGATGCTGCCGTAATGACCAGGTAAACCCAAACGTGATGTGAGGTGACCTCAGAGCGTCTGGCTGCAGAGTCCTTAGCTTCACCTCCACGACAGGCGGGTGTGTTGTTGTTGTTCTGCCTGCTCATGTTGTCGGCGTGGAGCCGGACAGTAACCTTCGTTATGCCAGGTTGTAGCTGCATACGACAGTACACAGAATACAGAAGAAGCATGATCTAAGAGGATAATATTCTGCCTTTAGATTCCACCGTGTGACTCATTTTACAGACAGTAGGCTGTTGTTGATGCCTGATCATCTGGTGTGGCTTCCTGTTGTACATTCATAAACACCCAGAGACAGACCCAACACTGCATCACTCAGACAATGGCTCGGCTCAGGATGTTTACTTGTTGCTGCTGGAGGTGGACTTTCTGCACCACTCTGCAGCTGTAAGTGACAAACAGGCCCTGACATCATCAGTGTGGTTGAACCAATCAGACATCAGCTGAACTTAAGGAGACCCTCTCAGTCTGCTCATGTCTGCACCTGGTTCTCTGTCACAGCTTCTCTCTGCAGCTCATTTTCTCTCACTCGTCCTCTCTTTGGAGAAATAAGAGCAGAATTAAATGGCCGTTGTAAAGTCTTGATGTGTGTGCCCCTTCAGTGCACTAAAACTGGGAACTGTGTGCACTGGATTCCCAGTCGATGTGTGAACACGTGTAGCAGGAGATGTGCTGCGCTCATAGAGACACAGTGAAGCCAGTGTTTGTGCAGGAGTTCAGCATCCCACCTGAATGTGGACATGCTGCTGTAAGCATGAGCAGATGCATTCATGTAGCGCCGTGTCCCACAGGGGGCGCCATATCTCAGGATGATTTGTTTAAATTTTAACATTAGCACATAAATAATCGTGATATAAAATATATAATAATAATAATAATATAAATAACAGTCAAACCAGAGCAGCAGAACACTTTGTACATCGGTATGAGTTAAACAGGTTGATTAAACATAAGTCAAACTCAGCATGTGCCCTCTTCTTTTTTTGACATTGCAGAAGCAGAGGACCGGGACATGAGCTGTGTGGTGTCCAGCCTGGTGCAGGTCATGTGTGACCCCCACTGTCGGACCCAGCTGGGCTTCCAGGGCCTGGTGCAGAAGGAGTGGGTGATGGCCGGCCACCGCTTCTGCAGCCGCATCAACTACCGCCGCGACAACGACAAGGAGGAGGTGAGGGCTCAGGTTTGACGCCGACGCTGCACTCTGGTGTTGGATTTCCTGTGACACTCCTGCTGCTCTCCCACGGCGGCGTAAGACGGGGGCGAGGAAACCCTCAGACTGCCTCAGGACCCAGAGCCAGCATGCAGAGAGCCCGGCGTGTGCATGATGCTGCACTTCAGGTTTTAATCGCTCAGATGAAGGACAAAGTGTCAGACAGGCTGTATGACCTTCTGACTGCACTCTTTTCCACATCTGGGTTCGTAGCTTTCTGAAACCAGTATTTCAATCATCACTTGATGCAGTGCTTCACCGTGTGTGGAGGTGGAACACTAAGGTTTGGTTGGAGCTTCTGTTTCTGGTGCCATGTTTATTCTTTTGATGACTTTTTATTCTTCCTTCATCCAGACCAGAGCAGCACTCCTCAGGGCTGTAGCTGTGCTCGGGTTTGGTTTGACGAGGAGGAACTTAGAAAAGGAATTTAAAACTTTACAAGTTATTTGTCGCTGTTATTAATAAAACTACAGTTTAAACACATTTAATGTTCTACATGCTGCACCTTCATGAGCTTTTGTTAAATGCTGTTTTATTTCTTTAGGAGGGTATTTATTTAGATGTCTTTTTTGTAAATTGTACTTGTCTTTGAGTCGGGTGCAGCCAGTCGCAGCAGTATTTAGACAGACTACACCACTGTCTGCTCGTAAACCACTGCTTTAGGATTATTTGTTTTTAAGAAAAAAAGGAGTTTCATGTTTGTTTGGTGTTTTTTTTATTTGCCATGTGAAAGCATACCAACCTGCACCAAGCCGTGGTTTCTGTTTGCCGTGGCTCCCTCCTCTTCTTCATCATCTTCCCCTACAGTGTCCTCTCTCTGTTCCCTCCAGGCTCCAGTCTTCCAGCTCTTCCTGGACTGTGTTTGGCAGCTGTGGTCCCAGTATCCATCCCGCTTCCAGCTGACGGATGAATTCTTGTTGGCGCTACACGACAGCATCCAGCTGCCACTTTTCTCCACCTTCCTGGCAAACTCCCAGCGAGAGAGATGCAAACGCTCGCAGGTACTGAGCAGGTTCTGCATGTATGAGGTTGTGATGAACGTAATGACGTCGACAGTGACATTATTGCAGTGTGGTTCTCCTCAGACTGTCTGCCGGTGTCTGGATGTGCAGATATATTGCTGAAGTACCTGATAAACATGTGATTTGTCTTGAGAACGAGCACTGACTGAAGCAGTGCTCCTAATGGTTACCGTGTGCATGTAAATGTGATTTCTGCTACGAAGAACAGAAATTCAATAACAAGACAAACCTTCTTGCTGCTTTACCAAGAACCTCGGGCAGACCTACACCCCGGTCAACGGCTGGAGAGACGTGCTGCATCCGGACTCCTCGGATCCGTCGGACCCGCCGCTGCCCCCGGTGTGGGACTGGTCCCTGCAGTACAGCAAGCCCACACAAGACCGCTTCACCCAGCCCGTCGCCCCGACTCCCCCGCTGCAGCCGCTGCTCAATGGCAACCTCAACACCAACCCAGACACTCACAGGGTAGGGCTGCCACGTCCATTACATGGTGCAGCACGCCCTCTGGTGGCTGTGCATGGAGCTCTGATCAGCTGCCACCTGAAGGCTTCCTGGTGCAGCTGAAAACAAACACTCCCATATGTTTTCCTCACAGTTTCTGGCTGAGCAGCTGTAGTTTCGTTGTCAAATGATAGAGCTGCTTAGTCAGTTTAAATGCTGGCTGTATGCTAGAGAGAAACACACACATATAGCAATAAATAAACAGACTTTAGCCCTCTTTGCACAGGACTAGGATGACAAAGGGACCTCATGTGATGTACTTGTTTTACCGTCATGTCTGTGTTTCATGTGGAGCGTTCACACAGGATGAGCTAATTTGTGCTTTACTTGAATTTACTGACATAATCTGTGGATTTTAGGCCTCCACAGAATAACTGCTGATCCTGTTGAGATACAGACATGCTGCAGTGCATGTCATCTGTTTCATCATCCCGATGGACGGGAGCTTTCTGGGTCTCCATGCCGTGTCGTGGAACCCAGAAAGCTCTGAATCGTAATAACTGCCAGCGCAGCCTCTGTAGCTGTCACGAGGAAAAGAAGCAGAAGAAAGACGTGTAGAAAACAAAAACAAAAAAATAAATTAGTTCAGCTAAGCTCCATAGTTCATAACATGAAGGCGCTTTAGCTGTATTATCACTGTAGTTAGGCTGATCTCAGTCGTTCATAACTCTCTATGGATGTGTATTAAAGTCAGGTAAAGGTCGGATTTTATATTATATGTGTGGGGTTTGATCTTTAATATGTAAATTACTCATTTAAACACTAAGTGGTCAGTATTTGTTGGGCTATGTCGTGATGCCAGTCTGTTCTCTCTGTGTGACTCTAAGCTGTAGTTTTAATGTGCCGTAGAAACCAGAGGCTGGTTTAGCTCGGCGAGGCTCCCTGGTGAGCTGCTTGCCTTTAGCTAGAGGAGTGCACGTCAGTGACATGAACTCACAATGTTGTATGAAACCCACAGACCCTACAGGTTGGTTTCCAGCGTCATGCTCCTCCTGCAGGTGTGTCTGAGCCACGACTCTGACTGACTGTCTTCTCCTTCCCACCAGCTGGCTGACACCATCCCCGGCTCAGTGTTCCTGCTCTCCAGAGGCACGTTCTCCTGCCCCGCTAACCTGCTTCCCTGGCGCAGCGGCAGCTCAGGTGTTTACAAGAAGAGCCACCGGAGGGCGCTGTCCTCTGAGAATGTGCCTGGCCTGGAGAGGCTGCTCAAAGCGTGGGCCCTGACTGACTTTCCCCAGGCCCTCACCTCCACTTCTGGACCTCAAGGACCACTGGACCCCTACGAGCCCCTGCTGCCCCTTCTGATGGGGCCCTGCATGGGCCTGTGGAGGGAGTGCTACCTGCGGGGGGCGCTCCATGCACAGGTATGTGGAGAGTTGTGTACACAGGTGGGAACCCGTCGTTAAGCATCATAGTGAGTCAGTGTTGCTTCATTTCCAGGACAACAAACAATGAACAGGATGTGATTTATTCCTCTGAAGTGGTGCATCAGTGTGTGAAGCGTGTGATGGGCAGCTCGGTTTTCAGCTGTCTGCCACAAATATTCCAGGCCTGAGTGTCTCATTGTGAGTGCGTCATTGATTTGAGGTGGGCAGCCAGTGTTTGGCGTTATTTAGCCTCCGATGCTTCCTGAATGTGCTCTGCTCAGCGTCATCATGTCTCCCACGTTACATCCACCCTCTGCTTGTTCAGGAGATGACTCTCTGATGTGCAGATTTGTCGGAACTGTTGATGGACACCTCCCGATATGGACACGCTGGAGCCTCTGTCAGCGTCCCCATGGTGATGCTCAGAGCAGTGGAGGGCCGTGTGGGTGGTGCAGCGTCTATTTCAGGGAGCTGCAGAGGAAATCTGTCAAACTGCTAAAAGACTTAACTCAGGTCTGCAGAGCGCCTTCCCCTTCATCCTCTCACATCATTAAAGCACCGCTTAAAGCCCACAAGTCCTTTCTTTTGTTCTTTGCTCTTAGCGGCATTGACCCCAGATGTCTGCTCAGTCAGGAGTCAGCTTGTGTCGGGAACGGCATTCAGATAGAAAGCTTCTCTTTGGTTTTCTCAAGAATTACACCAAAGACCCACATGAGTCCTGCTTCGTGTGCTTCTTATTTGGAAGTTCGTTGCTCCTTCACAGCTGTACCAATAGCGTGTCTACCTCAGCCTGAGCCGGAGCACTTCATCGTGTTCCTCCTTGGCCTGTTCAGACACACACATCCACAGAACTGTAACCAGAACCGCTTCAGGTCCACGGTTTTGCCTGAGAACACTTCAACATGCAGATGGACTGTAGATTGATTCGTAGATAACGTGCTCCAGCATCAGGTCACAGCCCCCAGTGAACCAACTCATATGTCTCGGGGACAAACCAGCACCAAACGTGGTCACACACCTCTCAGCTGATGTCTTCAGGTAGAAGATGGTAGAAGTTTCAGGATGATTTACCATCCTGACAGACGGAGGAGAACTCAGGTCCATGATCTTGATCTGACCTGATGTCCAGATTCTTCCACGTTTACAGATTCGTGGTGACCGTAAACGACAGGCCTGTTGCCAAGCAACCAAACCCTCCAGCCCGTAGGTATGAGTTAAAACATCACCTCCAGTTCCAGCTGAAGAGCAGACGAACCCTGCTGACTGCGTCTTCCAGACATTTTCTCATCCAGACTCAGTTTAATCTTCTGCTTTCTGGGTGTTGTTGGTGCTGCAGCAGGTTGTTCCTCCACAGTCTCCATGTTGTCTCCCTCTGCTGCCCTGTGAGGTCATGTGACTCGCTGCACCGCGCCCTGACCCCTCCCTCTGCTGCCCTGTGAGGTCATGTGACTCGGTGCACCGCGCCCTGACGTCTCCCTCTGCCACAACAGTCTTCATGTTGTCCTGCAGCAGTATTTCCAGTCTTGTAATGTGTGCACAACTGAGATCACAGAGAAGAGTATCTGAGAAGTTTCTCCATGTGTGCATGAGGCGGCAGCCTGCTGGAAGCTGCTGGAAGCTGCTGGAAGCTGCTGGAAGCTGCTGGGCCTCCACAGCGTACAGACCGCAGCACACTGACTGTTACTGAGTGAGACTGGTGATACTCTACGTGTGCTACTGACAGCGAGTGTGTGAAAAAACAAAACCGACTATTTGTTAATGCGTCATTCAGAACTGGCTGAATGTGGCTGTTGGTCTACGGCAGCATCCAGCTGTGTCGGAGGTCCAGAAGAACTCCCTCACTCCACATCAGCAGCGCTCCTGTAGCTCAGGGTGGTCGGCCATTTTGTTCATCAGGTTTTTACATTGAAAACATGTGGCTAGCTTACCTGTGTGTGGCGGTTTATTCCCCAGAAGACACAGGTGTGTAGCTCTTGGGTTTTGTTCTGGTCTGACAGTCATTTAAATGTTGGATGTGAACTCTGATAGCTCCCAGGAGACAGTGAAGCTGCACAGAGCTGAACAGAGGAGCTGGATCCTAGTTCTAGTTCTAGTTTCAAACAGGACACAGTTCTTCTTGTTTGCATGCATTGAGGATGAAGGATTTAATTCAGCGACCGTGTTCCTTTCCCTCCTCAGGCGTTCTCTCACCCCGTCTCCGCCAACCACCCCCACCCCGTGGAGCGGCTCGCCCAGGAGGTGCAGCAGCTCAAAGACAAGCTGGCACAAGTTTCCAGCAGCACGGATCCGACCACACCCACCGCCACAGCCGAGCCCCGGCGAACCGACACCAACCTGAACCAGAACACCAACAACGGCACCTTCCTCTTCCCGTCGTCGAGGCCTCAGGGCTCGGGCGCGCCCAGAGCGGCTGCCCCTCCTACCTCTACCAACCACCAGACCTCCAGGGGCCCCCCGCCCGCCTCCGCCCCTCCATCCAGGCCTGCCCACAAAGACACCGGCGGCAGCAACAAGCACACATTCCTGTTTGGGCACTCGTCGGGGACGGAGGCTCGCCCCGAGCAGCGCTACTACCCAGCGCCCAACAGCGCCAAGCTGCCCAAGAGCAACGGGCCCTCGCTAGCTTCCTGATCTGCCCCTCATCTCCACTGTTTTCCACTCTACCCCATGACCGGGTACGAAGTCACCCGCCTGCACCACATGCAGACGTATCCCTCACAGCTATGAAGACCTGAGGAGACCCAGACCCAGTGTTGTGGTGTCACTACGAGGTGACCAGAACCATGAGGACCTGGGCTGGACCACAGTGAACTCCAGTCATATGAAACGACCAGCGCAAGAGTTCTCAGCTCTGCTCCGCCTCGTCTGTACTGTATTAGAAAGAAATGTGACTCTAACTGTTTTGTATATTTGTTAACAAAATCCTGGTATTCCTCTAATTCAATATATCCTCACTGCTCTGAAGCAAAGAGACAAAAAGGGCTGCTTAGTAATGGAAGCACATCTGGAGCAGGCAGGAGGACCTGCCTCTGCTCATCGCTGCTCATGTCACATCACCCTTTAAGAACAACCGACAGCTTGTAGTTTCTATTTTTACTCTCTTATCCACAGCGACGGGGCAGATACAGATAAAGGCTCTGAATGCGTTTCAGTGGGTTTAACCTCTGAACCGAGTCTCCAGAAGCCTTTTGTTTTCCACAGCGAGCTCCGTAGATGTTCATTCTGAGCATAAAAAATTAGATTCAGTGTTTGTTGATCGACTTCAAACAGAAGCAAAATGCTGTTCAGTAAAATGATGATTTCCAGAAACCGGCGTTTCTGTGACCACTGACTTCAACGTGGAATTTAGGGCATGGGAGCTATTTCGGTACTCGCTCTGCTCTCATATCTGTCCACGCACATGCATGCTGGGAGCAGTGAGAGGCTGCTCAGCTCTTTGTGTTCTGCTCGCCCCGATGTGGCTGCTGTCGGTGGAACTCTGCATGAGCCAGATCGTTTCAGGGCTTCAGTAATATAATCTTATCTCATCTTTCTTTCCAGTATTTTTATCGATCACTTATGATGTCATACAAGTGTGTAAATCGTTTCTTACCAAAGTTAGTATTATTTGAAAATGCTTCCATCGTTTTTTTGTTTTTTACGGTGGAATTGTAAAAAACAAAGATGTTGTTCTGCCTTTGAGGATACCTTGTGAAGGTACCATGCTGGACGCAAAGGGAGCTCCTTTCCTCCTGGTTTTGTTCCTGCCTGCTGGTGCATTAGTATGCAGCCGGCATTTAGGTCAAGCACTTGTCTGACTGTATTTAAAGCACAGAGGAAGCATTTGGGTCCTGCACCTTTAAATCCCAACAGGTCGTCATGATGTGGGTGTCAAGTAGATGCACTGGCGTCACTCCCACACACGGATGAATTTGCACCATCGTGTCCACGAAAAAAAGGATGTTTTTCTAATGTTTTGTTTTTTTAGGCAGGATAACAGTCGTCAGATGTTTGCCTGATGCCGACCGTCTCTCATGTCAAAGGTACCTCACTTGATAGCACTATGAATTATTAAATTGTTGTAAATATTCATTACATCAATATCAAGGCACACTGATATCAGCTACAGGCTCAGAGCTTTCCAGGTGTGATGCCAATGCATCTGCTTGTCTTCCATGGAAACCAGAAGATAAAACCAGCAGGTCATCGTCGTCCTGCTGCATGGATCCAACCTGCTCACACCTGCTGCTGTATCTTTGTGTAATTTAATGTTTTTTTGGTACGAACATCACCTAAATTTGCCAGATGTACATACGTTTTGTACTCGCATGTTTTGATCCTGATGAATAAAAAGTGCTCTCAGTTCACCAGCTCTCACCTCTGTTCAGAATAAAGATGAACCGTTCTCATACACAACTCACAAACTTTATTTTTTAACAAAATAAATATGTACAATATGATCTGGAACACTTAAAAGTAGCATGGCACTGTACAATAGAACTAAGATTTAAAAGCGACTGCACGTTTCGTACCGTCGGAGTAAAACAATGTAGGAATGATGTGCAAAATGGTCGAAGCGTTCACAGAAAAACGTACAAAATAAAAACTGGACTGTTAGGAAATGTTAAAATATCTGCTCGGTTTGCTGACCAGAGCTCTGGCTTCGTCTCTCTGTCTGCCTTCAGTAGAATGAGGCTCAGTGTTTGAATACAGAAACCTGCATGCTGTCAGGAAACATGAATGAGCAGCTTCACTACACTTTGGGATCAAATGGAGCAAAGACAGCAGAGCTCTCCTTCTGCTCTGTGTGTTATCAGGAAGCCTCCAACAGTCTATGGAGATGCATTTTGGCACTTTGAACCTACAGATGTTAGTGTCATGCATTCTCATGTTTCAGCTGATGACCACAGACGACAGAGCAACACACAGTAAAGTCCGAAGTCACCATCATGGCAGTGGCAGTGCGTTCAGAGCCCAGCAGGTCCAGCTGAGGAAACCCAAAGAGTCCAACATCTCTTCCTCAAAGAGAGTTCAGCCCCACCGGCTGCCGTGCTCCTTCCCTGTGAACTGCTGCTGCTGCAGGATGCCGCAGGGCCCGTAGAAGTACCCGGACGACGAGGGGCCCAGGCCTCCCAGCTTCCGGATGGACTTGCACATGGGGCAGGGGTAGTCGGACAGGCCCTCGATGTCCTCGAAGGCCAGGTTGACGATCTGGTCGCAGCAGGGGTCGCAGTAGAGGTGGCCGCAGGAGAGCCGCTTCAGCCGGGCCTCGTAGGTGATGCAGCACTGGCAGTGGGGCAGGTCTGGGCCCAGCGACAGCGAGCCGGTCAGGGAGCTGCTCTCCAGGCTGCCGGCCTGGCTGGAGCTCAGCTTAGTGGGAGACCTGAGGAGAGAGTCGGGTCGCCGTTATTTATACAGCACGTCTCAAACCTGTGGCCCAAAGAGCTGCTAGTGGAGCAATCAGACGGATGTTCTGAAGTGACCCCACAAGTGTAAACGTCACAGTTAAGATCCAGCAGTTCTGTTCATCTGACAAGTTTACCTGGAACTAGTTTAAATATTAAGGTGAAGACACTCCAACAATATTAATCATACAAGTGTCCCTGACCAATTCTGATTTTAGTTTTAAAACCCTATAATATTATTCATTATAAAAGTTTACCTAATTAACTTAATTAAGGCTATGACCTACAAAGTGAAGTAAAATCTAAATTTATCTGACGATCTACAACAGCATTTATTATATAGGTTCACCTGACCCACTGAAACACTAACGTTAAGACCTGACATCATGATTCATTCCTCAGATCCATCTAACGAAGGGACCAGAGACCAGGCAGGATGTGAAGTCGGTCAGAAACCATCTGCTGCCTCTCAAACTCCAGGATTTACTGTTTTTGCTCAATTCCCAGTTTGCATTAACCCATTATTTTATAGATTTGATTGTTTGTGTGTTTTCTTAAAAAAATGTCATTTACATATTTTTATATTTTTTTATTTTATTGTCTGTTTTTTTCTGTTTGTTGTAAACCGCTGCACAACACTGGCTGTAAAAAAAACAAAAAAAACATCATTATTATATTTATTGATGTTGTCATAGTTTTAAAATGTTACTTTAAAAGCCTTTAAGACCAGTTTTAAACCAGATGGTCAATAAACGTGAGGCTGCAGTGGGGTGTAGCGCCATCTAGCGGTCGGGATGTGAACTGCAGCTCTCTCCTACGGTGGCCGTAGAAACGCAAAAGGCCGCCGTTTGTCCTTTCTGGGCTACTGTAGAAACATGGCGGCGCACCACGGCGGAACCCGGACAGCTGTAAAGAGCTCCTTTTAAGGTAAATGAGACAAATAAAACCCATTTATGAAAGTTATGTTTAGTTTCAGCCAATTAAATCCGTGAGTAGAGCAAAGCTTGGATGTGACGTCAGAACCACGTCCATACGGTGCATCACCTACACTGACCACGTGGGGCGGTATTACCACATTCATGGTTAAGATATTTTACAAACTGTTTCCCCATAGAACGCTGTTTACAGCATCTCTATCTCTAATAGAACAGAAGTACCAACAGTCCTGTGCTAACTGTGTGAATTAAACAATGACCCGCTGACCAGAACCAGAACCTCCAGTCGGACCTCAGAGCACCAACAGTCTGTTCACCTCTGATACCAGAGAGTCACATCTGCAGAGTTTTGGTACTTTATATGTCCACCTTGGACTCTTGGACATGCAGGACACCACTTCTGGAGGTCTGAGCTGGTCTTTGGTAGCTCAGACCACATCCAGGTCCAGGTCGGCTCTCCTTCACACACTCGTGTGTAATTTTGTGCTTCGAATGGTTTTTATGCTGGAATAGTCCTGTTCTGTCCAGTTGTCTGTGAAGGTTCTCAGTCCTCCAGGTCATGGTTGTTCTGGTAGATCTTCACTCGTCATCTCCTCTGTGTCAGACTGGACACACCATCCCTCAGCAGAGGTGGAGGTCTGAGGCATCAGTCCTCAGATCTCTCCCCAGGAAGATGAAGCCACATCCACACCGAGCCACAGAGACCCTAACGAACCCCACTGTGGCAGGGGGAGCACTAACGACTCACATAACGAGGGGGAGGAGCAACAAACCCCCGACTCAAACCTAAACTCAGATGTTAATGTCTCCTTCAGGATATCAGCATCTGGAACTAGTCAGTCAGAGCTGATGGAGCCTCTTGGATGAAGGTGGAACGTCTTCAAGGAACTCAGGCAGGTCCAGTTGCTACCATTAATCCACCAGAATTCCTGTTCTGTCAAGACTCCACAGACATGTGCAGTGCTGTCATCTGTCCAGCACCTTCTGCCCTCATGCAGCCCCATGTCATGGTACTGCCACCTCCGTGCTTCACTGTCAGGACCACGCATTCACTGTGGTGGTCCTGGTCAGGTTCACACCAAACATCTGGACTCCATCCGAGCTAAACTAATTTGTTTTGGTCTGGTCTGACCAAAGGACGTGCTCCCAGCATTCATGGTTTCTGTTCATGTTCTTTAGCAAAGTTTGGTCCTGCAGTTTTGTGCTGAGGAAGAAGTGAGAGCTTCTTCCTGGTCCTCCATCCTCAGAGGTTGATGTTCTGAAGTGTCCTTCACACTGTCTGGGCTTCACAGAATCTCTGGTGTCCACGGATCAGCTGAGTCTGGAGCAGCTGTTTAGTAGTTCAGTGTCTGTGGAGTCACTGTGGTTCTGATCAGAGGCTCTATGGCTCCTCTGTACCATCTGATCACTGCTGCAGTCGGTCACTGATCTCCTGGATCCTTTTTCATCTTTGCCAAGTCTCACCATCACATTTTGCCCCTCTGGCAGTCCTGTTTCTGTTCTACGTGGAGCCATGATGCAGACAGACGCGGTCCAAACTAGAAGGTTCTGCAGCTTATTTCAGAACCATGTTCATACAGGTGAGCTGGTTGAACATCACAGGTGTCCTCAGTCTAGCTTCAGTCACAGAAGCAGGACTCTTGCTGGATTTGAGTTCCATGTTGGGCCTGTATGTCCAACATAGACCATCTGACGTCTGATCTACTGTTTAAGAAACGCTGCAGCTGGTGATGGTGACACCGTTCTGGACCATCTGACATCTGAGTGTAAAGCTCACACATGTTCTCACTCCTGCTGTGACCTACATCTATTAAATACGGAGCTGGAGGCGGTTAGTTTAGGTCCAAACAACCCGTTTAAAGAAATCAGGAGAAAGGAGCAAAGTCCTCACTATGGAGGAGCCTGAACCAGCAGATATCTGTTAGCTGACATAAAGGAGATAAACACTGAATGTATGGTTGTTTTATTGATCACTGTTCTGCTTTGAAGCAGGATTTGGCTCAAAGTTACAACAAACAAACTGAATATTCCTCCGACACACACACAGAGCTGTTTAACAGAAAAACAAACCCTCTGCAGCTGCAGCTTTAAACCGGGTTTGGATTGTTGGTGGATTTTTTTCCTCCCATTTTCTTGAACAAAATCATCAATCGAAGGAGGAACATGAGCTTTAGGAGGCTCTCGGGTCGCTGTGGTGCCCACGAGGAGCAGGTTTGGTGCTGGTGCTCAGGTTTGTGCCAAAGACAGAAACACACTAACTGGTCAAACCAGATGTGGAGGATCAGGCTGGGTGGAGGTTCAGGGATTGTGTAATGATTTAAACCGCTGACATTTATCTGCCTTCTGACTGACACTGAACGTGACTGGAGCTGCTTTCCTCCTGAACGCTGACACCTGTCCACAGCAACTGGACCTCATCTGTCTGATTACCTGAGATCCATCAATGGAGGCGTTCTAATGAGTCGGAGCTGGTCTCAGATGGACATCTCTGAACCATGCTGTGCAGATTAAAGAAGTTGTGTAACATCAGCCGGTTTTCATGAGGCCGAGCTGCACACAATGACTCAGGAAACCTGTTGTCATAACAACTGAGGAGTGAAGGACGAGATTTCCTCGTTAAAAATCCATCACAGACATCCACTGCTCCCTCATTTCAAACACCGTCCTCCGTGAGGGATCAATCTCACGGTGACCGTCCGGAGCGGATGATGCGTAAAACCGCCGGTGGAGAAATATTCACAGGAATCTGGCAATAATCGATTAAAAACAGAAGATCTGATCAGTGCTCACCTTGACGACGATGAATCTTTGAAGCAGTCGAAGCTGAGAGCTGCTAGGATCCTCCAGAGCAGGTCCATGCCGGTTCCTCTCATCGTAAAACCCGCATTTCATCGAGCTGCGTTCCGGGCGCGCGTCATGTTTCAGAAAGCGCGCCGCCGCGAGTCTTTAAATGAGGACAAAACAAAATCCTGCGCCTCCCCCCCTCCCTCTCTCTCACCCTCCTCTCTCTCTCCCTCTCTCTCCCTC